TTGCAATGCATGCTTGTGCTTTTATTCACCTCCATCTCCAAGGGATGAGGGTAGTAAACTTTGCACCGTCTTGGGCATAGGTGACACTGGTGAAAACATTTTCCAAATCCACAGCAACCTCTGCAGGCCCATGTGTCCAAACAGCATAAGAGCCATGGTCTTCCAGCAAAGCAAAAAGCTCCAGCACTGTCCTGCATTGTACACCACATTGCAAATGTTTTCTGACTTTGCCACATGCCCATTTGTGACCTGCATGGCAAAACAAAGCCACATCACCAGCAGCGACTGTGCCATCCTGGCACCTTGCAGAGGAAGCCGCCAGCACAGAAGCCCATGGTGCAGGCCAGACCATGCTGGAAAGCTGCATGTCTTTGGCTCCAGCATTTTTTGGCTGTAGCAACTTGATCCCAGCATCCAAATTGTCTGTTTCAGCCAAAGCCTGCAGCTCACCATTTACAATTTCTTCCATGGCAGAGGATTCAAAGGAAGTGGTGTTCTGCAGCAGGGAGGTCTTTCTGTTTATCATCTTGTGCTTTCTCTCCATGGTAAAACACCCTATGAGGTGTCCATGGTCTTCGAAGCTTTGGTGAAAATGGAGAAGCCAATGGTTTTTCTTCCTAAATGGCCAGCCTGCAGTTTTCCATTTCTCCAAGGCATCCTCCACCAACACAAAGACCATGTGACCTGTCACTTTGCCACTGTAGCCAGCATGCAGGACCTCCAGCAAAGCACACATGGCCAGGAAAGCTTGTGTGGAAGGGGCTTGCAAGGCAGCAGTGTGCACCTTTTTCAGAAAGTGCACCAGCACAGGCAACGCAGACAAAAGTTCTGATGCTGTGCAGTTTAACTTCTCAGACTTCTTGTGCTTGGCGAGCCTTTTGCTTTCAAACAAGCTGCTGATGGGCGCAGAAGCAAATTGCTTGGGCAGGTTCCAAAATGTGGCATAACCGGCAAAGGTGGACCAGCAATCCAGCTCCTGCATCAGGAAGAAAGTTGCATATGACAACAAGCCATTGGAAAGCAGAGCATGCATGTAATCATGCATCCACTGCCTAGCTGGAACCAGCATGGATCTCAGCTCATCACATGCCAGCAAAGCTTCAGGCGAATATGTGATGCCAGTGGCTTGCTGCCATTTCTTCCACTCAGCAGATGTGCAATTGCCAAATCTGGCTGCCATCCTGTCCCAGCTAGCCAGCATTTCTTCTGAAGAATGCTGGGCCAGCTGTGCATGCCTGGTGAAATGACATGCTTGGCTCACAGCTTCATCATCTTCTCCAGCATTGTGACTGAAGCAATTCGAACACAGAATCTGGATCCTGAGTCGCCCTTCACAGACCAAGTCATCTTTTGTGCTTGTCCATCTTGTATAAAAAGTTGCAAGGACAATGTCATTCTCCTGTTAGGTTGACCAGCATGTTCTGGTGGAGGCTGTAGTTGAATGCCAAAGTCCTGCACTTCAACCCAAGGGTTCTGGAATATGAGGAACAATATTTTTTCATAATCTGGGACATGCCAGCCTCGATACCTGCCACTATGGAGCTCCTGAGAACACAAAGAGTTATCCAAGAGTTCTCATTCCCCAGCAAAGGGCCCATCTCTTTGAACCCAGCATAAACTATCCAGCACTTTCGAGATGGATTTGCTGCCAATGGGTTTCCTGGGCATACCTCATCTGAATACAAGCACAGTCCCAGGGGACCATTGTTGTTGTCCAGCATGTTGTTGATTGCCTGGTACCAGCACCCTCCGAGCTTGTATGCATAATGCAAAAAGGAGCAAAAATTCAGAAATTGCACTTTCACATTGCCACCATCTTGCAATACAAGGTCTTGATGGACCAGCAAGGGGCCATAAGCATCAGCTTCAGCTATCACAGCTCGATTTGCTGCTCTCATTGATTTTGCAGTGCGAGTATCAGGCATGCCGTGCTTGGAAACATACTTCAAAACCGACTCGAGGGCAGCCTTGCTCACATGTGGCGCAGTTTTCCTCAAGTCATTGATCTTCCGGCGTTTTGGTTGGGTTTCAGTCATCCAACCCCAGCAAGTGTGAAAGCATGGCTGCACCTACAAGACATGTTCCTATACTATACTGCAATTTCCTTTTGCTGATTGGAGTGCACAATGTCAGCTAACACATTGTATTCCTAGCTTCAATTTCTACTGCATGTCTTCTACAAGCATCATGTTTAAACATCTCCTCTACATCTTACAGTTCAGAAAGACATTGTAATATATGTGTCAACACATAATAGCATTTGATATGTTGAACTTGCAACATGTTCAAAAACCCTGCAGGTTTTGCTTTCTCGGACATGACATTCATCCATGAACTGTCAAAAGGCAGCAGCACCATGTACATATGTTTCAAACAATAGTCAATGCCAGGACAGACTCATCCAAATGCACAAGATTGCATGTATGCCTATGGGCCAGCCTGCAAAGGCTGGCACAAAAAAAAACATTGAACAGCCTGTGCACCAGCCTGCATAGGCTTCAAGAAAAACACAATTGAACAGCCTATGCACCAGCCTGCAAAGGCTTCAAGGAAAACACAATTGCACAGCTTGTAAGTACAGCTGTGTAAACTGTAGCATACCCTAAACCATAAACCCTAATAAACCTTATAAACCCTAAACCCTTGCAACGCAGACAGCTTTTTTTAGAGGCAGTGACACCATGCTGCATCACTTGAGTCCATGCTCCTTGGCATACTCTTTCCACTCAGCCCTGTTGAGCCTCATGCCCTTGTAAGTGGGCTTCCTGCATTGTGCACATCCATTGATGCCACCTCGGCAAGACTTGCAGCCCAGCTTTAGGCTGGTTCCTCCACCAGCAGGTGCTGCAGCCTCCTCCTTCTTTTTCTTGCTGCCAGCAGTGGTGCTTGGTGCTGCACTTGGTCTCTTCTTCACAGGCTTGTTCTGCAACTTCTGAAATGCCTCTGCTTCGTATTCTTCCAAAGTCTTGGCACCAGCAGTTGCTTTCACTTCTGTCGAAGCAGGCAATGTGGAAGTCACTGCAGGGGAGGCGGAAGCACTGGGAGCAACTGGCAACTGGGACCCTGCAGAAGTTGCCATCCCAGCATTTTCCTGCAAAGTTGGTGAGCTCGAGCATGGCAAAGCCAGCTGTGGTGCTTGCTGAGTCCTATCCCCCTTGTTGAGGTAAGTGAGCTTGCAGGGAGCTTCTCCATTCTGCTGTGACTTTCCAGCAGCCAAACTCTGGACCAAAGGTGCAAACACATTCTCCAGCATGGTGGCCATGGCTCCAAATTGGTCTGTTGCAGGTTGAGGAGCAGCAGGTTCCAGCACAGCAGACTTGCCAGCAGATTTGCCAGCCTCAGAGGCTCAAGCTCATGCAATTACATAGGTAAATGAAACACTCAGAAATGCAAATTGAAGTGCTGCCAAGAAGCTTTGTTCACCAGCTTCTTGCTGCTGCCTCTGACCACTGTGTCGTGCTTCAGAACCTGGGCCAGCTCTATGCATTTATCGTCAGGAAATCTCTGGCTGAAAATTTTTTAAAAAAACATCAGATTTTGATTGGTGCGCTTAAAAATGCTTTCAAATGTTGTTGAATGATTTCTGATTTCTGGTTTTTTGTAACCATTTTTTGATGTCAGAATTCTGAAATCATAATGTGGGTCCAAAAATTTGATTTCAGAATTATGAAATCAAATTTTGGGTTAAAAATTTTGATTTCAGATCCATGAAATCAAATCTCGGGTTGATCCATTTGATTTCACGCTCATGAATTCAAATTGTTCGTTACAAGATTTGATTTCATGAATCTGAAATCAAAAAAATCATTGAAAAATTTGATTTCATGTTCATGAAATCAAATGTTGTTGTCAAAATTTTTGATTTCAGATTCATGAAATCAAAAAAACAAGAAAAACCCAAACTCAACCTAAAAATTTAAAAAAATCACAAATTTGGCTGCATTTTTTCAGTACAAATACAAAGCCCAGCAAGAAATTTCCATGATTTCTCTACAAAGAAATTAGTTTAGAATAACATTTTGCACCCAAACACAAGCGAATCGGGTCAAACCCTAAAAACCCTAAACCCTAAACCCTGAACCCTGAACCCTAAACCCTAAACCCTAAACCCTAAATCCTGAACCCTAAACCCCCAACCCTAAGCCCTAAACCCTAAACCCTAAACCCTAAGCCCTAACCCAAAACCCTCAACCCTAAACCCTAAACCCTAGACCCTAAACCCTAAACCCTAACCCCTAACCCCTAACCCTGAACCCTAAACCCTAAACCCTAAACCCTAAACCCTAAACCCTAAACCCTAGACCCTAGACCCTAAACCCTAAACCCTAAACCCTAAACCCAAAACCCAAAACCCAAAACCCAAAACCCTAAACCCTAAACCCTAAACCCTAGCACACAAGAAACAAAATGACATTGCAATGGCTACATCCAGCAAAAGAACTAAAGCCTGCAAAGCCTGAAAACCAAAAAAACTGCAAAGGCTGAAAACACAAAAAGCCTGCAAAGGCTGAAAGCACAAAAAATGCAAAGGCTGAAAAGAAAAAAAGGAATATATAATACGAGCCTGTGAAGGCTGGAAAAAAACACCTGCAAAGGCTCCAAAAGAAATCCCCCCCCAAAAAAAAACCCAAACAAGAAATTTTCAGACCAGCACCTGCCAGCAGTCACTTCAGGTACCCCAGCCGGCGGATGCCTTCAAGGCCCTCAGCCCGGTGGGCTTCCAGCATTTGCTGGACCTGGGGCTGGATATTCCATTTATGCCCCAGGCGTTCCAGCTCTTCGTGGAGCTGCGCCCCATTGGAGCCATATAGATTTCGGTCATGTCTTCTGCCAGCCTGCAAAGGCTATAGACATAAAATCAAAGCCAAAAAAAACACAAACAATGCAACACTGTTCTTTTCTACTCTCCTTGTCAAGTTCTCCTGCCAGCATGGCCCTATATACATCTGCCTTCAGTCAGCCTCGAGCTGGACTGGTCCAAAAAGCATCCAGCATGCAAATCAGCTGGTCTTGGCTTTCTTTGCTTTTGGGCCAGCACTGCCTTTGTCAGCCTGCACTTTGAAGTAAGTGAACTGCTGCCCACTTGCCAGCTGCTTCTTTGGCTTGAAGCATGGGATCTCCAGCATGTTGTGGTTGGTGTGACACAACTCCATGCTGGCTTCCTCTGGAGTTTCCACTGGAGTCACCCAAAAAAACAGTGGAATGGCGCCACTTGCTTTGGCCAGCTCAAACTTGGATGCCTGCACTTGGTATTTTCTCCCCTTCTTGTAGGTCACCACCACCTTGGACCCAGCAAGGTTCTTCTTACCATCATCATCTTTCAGCAAGGAAACCATGCCAAATGGGTAGATCTGGATGCTTCCTTTCAAAATCTTGGCACCAGCAAAAATCTTGCATTCATTGGTCAGCACCAGCTTCGAGAAATCCACCATGCTGTTCCTGCCAAATAAAAAAACATGAGCGCTGTGTATCAGGCTGTGCTTCATATGTTAGGAACATGTGAGATAAAGTACCTTATAACCCCTCAACCCTAAACCCCAAAACCCCAAACCCTATAACCCTAAACTCCCTAAACCCGAAATTATGGCAACTAGAATGCAACCCAAATGCTCATTGTGGTTCTCCAGCAAGCAAGCTTGAACTTGAGCTTTCTCCAACTCCAGCTGCCATTGCAAGCACTTCTCAGGCTGCAGTTTCGACACCAACTCCTCGTCCAGCATGCTAGCAGGCTTCTTGTCAGTGGCTCTGAAGCGAAACAAATCAGCATGCTGCACCAGCACTGCTTGCTCTTTGCCATACATGTCTCGAACAATGAACTCTGCATTCTCAGCTGTGAGGCCAGCAAACCGAAAGACATCCTTGCTGTCTCTCTTCGAGTAGTACTGCCCAGGTTTCAACCAGTTGTACTTCAGACCAGCAATACATGCAGCATCATTTGCCTCCTGTGCCACATGTGAAAAAAGATACATACAAATACAACACAAAAAAGATACAACAATTATATACATGTTCATTATATATAGGGTTTGAGGTTTATACAAGTAATAAGGTTTAGGATTTCAAGCTTAGGGTTTATGCTTTAGGGTTTCAGGTGGAGGGTTTGAGGATTCATGCTTGTAATGGTTTCTTTCGAAACTGTTCAGTCCTGCAAGGACAGCACTTTCTCAACTGTTTGCTTTCCTGTCGTTCCAGCTCCATTTGAGCTGTTGCTGTCTCCTGGAGTGTTTTCCAGCATGTACTGGGCATGGATGCTGCTCAAAGAGCCAAAGGTTCGGCTCTCCCGACCCTTTCCTTCTTTTTGGGTCAGGTACAAGGCACAGCGAATGAAGAATCTGCCCAGCACTTTCACAGTTTCAGATTTCAGCAAGTCATTCTTCTTCATGCGCTCTTCCACCAGCATCTTCCCCAATTTCTCACAAGCTTCAAGGTTTCCTTTTTGGGAGCTTTGCTGCAACTTCAGCAGATCTGTTTTAACCAGCAAACGAGCCACTCCATCTTGTTGTTTCGAAGAAGACAAATTTGCGGCTATCAGCATCGACCTGCAGACTGCAAATGTCGTATGGGTGGACCCAAAATGTGTCCCAACCACTGCAGTCATGAACTCCTCGCCCAGCATTAGGCTGGAGTTGAAGGCCCGTTCCAAATGCACCAGGAACTGCACTAATGGAAAATCTTCTCCACCAGCATAGTTCTTCACGAAGTCCCCAACAACCTTAAGGTACTTCAGGTTGCTCATGCTTCGGCAGGTCTGAATAGCTGTCTCCAAGCTCTTGGTCCTCTTGTAAGTGCCAGCAATGCTCATGGCCAGCTCCATCTCTGTTGCTTTGGCAGCAATGTGATTGCTTGCATTCAGGGCTCCCTGAAGGAAACTGGCAAACCATGGCATACTTTCCTCCACTGTGAAGGCGATGCAGTGCCAGCGCCAGCCTTGGGTAACAGCCTCTTTGAAACCAGCATCAGGAAATGTTTGCTGGAGAGTGTCCAGCGACAACACTTTGTTGATGCTTGCCAGGTTTTCATCCTGGGTGAGGCAGCCAGCACCAACAGCCTTGCAGAACTGGCTCATGTGACTGGCACTGAGGGACATGTACTGCTCAGTTCCTGCAACTGGTGCCAGCATACCCTGGCTAGCTTCGACCAGTGTCTGCATGGCCTGCAACTGCTTGTGTTTCACCGACCAATTGTGGCTGACCTCAAGGGCATAGCTTTCCTCAAGCTTTTTGGCTGACCAGCCAACTTTGAGTGCTTGCCAGCCTTTTTGGTGAACATTGAAAGGGTTGACCATGGCACCCGACCTATTCTCAGGATGCACCAGCAGCTGGCTGGGCTTCAGGTTTTGAATCCTGATGTAGCCCAAGCTGTCCAGCATGTTCAACATCTTGCCAGCTTTCAAGTTGACAGCCAACACAGGGTCATCCCTGATGGCCTCCATGGCTGAAATGGATTTTGCATCCATGGCCAAGCTGGAGGATGCCAGCTTTTAGCTGGCTTACAAAATTGCTGTGAGGTGCACATGCCACATGCATGACATGTACATATATGCATGCCATGCGTGTGAGTTTTGTAGACTTTGCATGCAAACATGTCGACATGGCTTCTGCCCTAAAGAGCCATGAACTGCATGCCAGCTCAACTGCATCAGCAAACACTTGAAAAATCATGCAAATGCTCATAAATTAAAGGCAGCAATAGCCTGCAAAGGCTGAACAAAACCACATTAAAATAGCTTCCAACATGAATAAACAAGATGCCCATTCACTTTCTGCATCCGAGAGCCCATGTAAGGCATGCATGAGTTTGCTGCTCCACATTGTGCATCCCGCACTTTCATAGTGCAGATAACAACATTTACCTCCTTTACTAATGACTTAGTAATTCACTAACTTAACTCATCTAATCGAACTAAACCCTTTAATCTCTTTCAAGCTAAATGGTTAGTAATTGCACCAATCATGAAAACACTTTAACACACTTAGTTAAAGTTTAACTAACTATACTATCCTTCATAGCTATTTAGACAGATTATAATGATTTATAACTACTTATAATGATTCAATAGCATGTTAACAACTTGTTAGTATGTACTATAACTCATCTATCCTACTACTAAACACAGGGCCCATCTAAGCAGAGTTCCGCGCCCACGGTATTTACGACGTGTTCGAAGCCCCATCTGCAGAGTTCCGCGCCCACGGTATTTGCGACGTTTTCGAAGCCCTAGAGTTCCGCGCCCACGGTATTTGCGACGTTTTCGAAGCCCCAGAGTTCCGCGCCCACGGTATTTGCGACGTTTTCGAAGCCCCAGAGTTTCGCGCCCGCGCCCACGGTGTTTGCGAGGTTTTCGAAGCCCCGGAGTTCCGCGCCCACGGTATTTGCGACGTTTTCGAAGCCCCAGAGTTCCGCGCCCACGGTATTTGCGACGTTTTCGAAGCCCCAGAGTTTCGCGCCCGCGCCCACGGTGTTTGCGAGGTTTTCGAAGCCCCGGAGTTCCGCGCCCACGGTATTTGCGACGTTTTCGAAGCCCCAGAGTTCCGCGCCCGCGGTATTTGCGACGTTTTCGAAGCCCTAGAGTTCCGACACGCACGATCCCCGCAGAGTGGTGCATCGCGCTGGCCGCGGCGAAACCCACCCCAGCTGTAGGGCTAACGTTTTTGTTTCTCCGAAGAACCCTTCGCTGAAGCTTTCGGGAAAAGTCGACTTTCGCGCCACGGCAGCTCCGGGCGTCCGCGGCGTACTACGTTTGTACTACAAAAAGTCGACTTTCCAGCTACAGCAGCTCCGGGCGTCCGCGGCGTACTACGTTTGTACTACAAAAAGTCGACTTTCCAGCCACAGCAGCTCCGGGCGTCCGCGGCGTACTACGTTTGTACTACAAGTACTACGTTTGTACTACAAAAAGTCGACTTTCCAGCTACGGCAGCTCCGGGCGTCCGCGGCGTACTACGTTTGTACTACAAAAAGTCGACTTTCCAGCTACGGCAGCTCCGGGCGTCCGCGGCGTACTACATTTGTGAGGAAGGCTCCGACACGCACGATCCCCGCAGACGGTGCACGACCACGCTTCAAAATACGCAAAAACGCACAGCGGCAGCGCTCCGACACGCGCGATCCCCGCAGAGGGTGTGCGAAGCAAGTTGTAAAATGTGCGAAAACGCACAGCGGGAGCGCTCCGACACGCACGATCCCCGCAGAGGGTGCACGACCACGCTTCAAAATACGCAAAAACGCACAGCGGCAGCGCTCCGACACGCACGATCCCCGCAGAGGGTGTGCGAAGCAAGTTGTAAAATGTGCGAAAACGCACAGCGGGAGCGCTCCGACACGCACGATCCCCGCAGAGGGTGTACGAAGCAAGTTGTAACATGCGCAAAAACGCACAGCGGGAGCGCTCCGACACGCACGATCCCCGCAGAGGGTGCGCAGGCACAAATCCACATGCGCAAAAACGCACAGCGGGAGCGCTCCGACACGCACGATCCTCGCAGAGGGGTGCATCGCGCTAGCCGCGGCGAAACCCACCCCAGCCTAAGAAATAAGAGAGAATTTAATAGAGGAGGTGATGTGATGGTACTGTGGTGATGGTAGTGTGGTGATGGTAGTGGTGATTGGAGTGTGGTGATGGTAGTGTGGTGATGGTAGTGGTGATTGGAGTGTGGTGATGGTAGTGTGGTGATTGTAGTGTGGTGATGGTAGTGTAGTGTGGTAGGGCTAACGTTTTTTTTCTCTCCGAAGAACCCTTCGCTGAAGCTTTCGGGAACAAAAAAAACAATTCTGAACCCCTGAGACCGAACCACAAACTGTCACTGGGGTGTCCCCACGCCCCACCCAGGCACTTTGGACTCTAAGCGGGGGTAGACCTCAACCCTCAACAGCGCCTCGGATCCCAAAGCCCCCAACACCCTCAAACCACAAACATCTCCAGGTACACTGGCTTCCCGACTCTGGGTGTGGAAGTGCAGACGATGGAGACGCCCGTGCAGCAAGACTCGTCCCAGCCCCCTGAAGGGTAGGTGGGGGGGGGGGCGGGTTCAGGATTTAGGGGTTAGGAGTTTAGGGTTAGGGTGTTGGTTTTGTTCCTTTTTGGTGGGTACGGAACTTTATGGTTATATGAAAGTACTGCGCAATGTGCAAGCATTGGCAGAACAATCAAAGGTCCGGGTCTGTAATGTGGAGAGAAGCAGGACATTGTTTGGGTTTTGCGGTTTAGGTGCTTCGTTGGTCGGGGAAACCCTAAACCCTGACCCTAAACCCTAAACCCGAAGCCCTAAACCCTAAACCCTAAACCCTGAACCCTGAACCCTAAACCCTGAACCCTGAACCCGGAACCCCACACAAGGAACTCCCACTTGCGGGAGTCCTTTGGCATGGCCCCGGAGCCGCCTGGCACGGGCGTTGGGGGTTCTCGCTTGTGACTTGTTCTTCGTGTCTCGCCTGTGACTTTTTGGTTTAATCTGCATGTGGGTAGGGTTTAGGGTTTAGGGTTTAGGGTTTAGGGTTTAGGGTTGAGGGTTTAGGGTTGCGGGTTGAGGGGTTGAGGGTTTAGGGTCTCGGTGAATTGTGGGCAGGGGGGCTCGAGGTGTTTGCGGGTTTTGGTGCTTGAGGGGTTGCTGGGCTTAGTTTGAGGTCGGTCTTGCGTTCGAGTCCAGAGTTTTGGGCCTTGGCTTTGTGGTGCTTTACTGTAACTTTAGATCTTTAGCCTTTTTGGGCTTGTTGGGTTTCTTAACAAGGCAGCTAAAAACTCAATTTATAGCTACCGTCCTAAGTGCAGCCAAGTTGGGTCGGGAGTATTCATGAAGCTCCCAAAGTAGGCTGCATCGGGACCCGAGCCAAGCTTCGGGTAGAGCAGCTCACTTGCTTGGAGGTTCAGGGTACTTAGTAGTAACCCAATTGTACCTGTATTTATAACCCAATTACAACCCTATTAGGGTACTTAGGGGGCTTACAATTTATAAAGTGGGTTATAACTACACTTATCATTGGGTACTAAGTACCCTGAACCTCCAAGTAGGGTTTAGGGTCCAGGTTTCAGCGTCAGAGTCTCAAGTCCGTCGCTCTTCAGGCACGGGCTTGCGACGCTGACCTTCCTGAAGCTTCATGGGTACTTCTAATAAGTAGGGTTATAAGCAGGGTCGCTATGGTCATAACCTTATCTGGGGTACTTGTAACCCTACGTAGAAGCAGCCCTAAACCCTAAACCCTAAACTCCGAAACCCTAAGCCCTAAACCCTAGACCCTAGACCCTAAACCCTAAACCCCTAACCCCTAAACCCTAGAAACCCTAGAAACCCTAGAATCCCCAGAAACCCTAGACCCTAAACCCTAAACCAGTACCCATGAACCTTCAAGTTGTTCGGGCTGAGGCAGAAAGGCGTGCTCTTGAACCGACTGTCGCCCACATCGTCGGCGGCCGAAGTTCTGAAGGCCTCAAACCCTAAGCCCTAAGCCCTAAACCCTAAACCCTAAACCCTAAACCCTAAACCCTAAACTCTAAACCCTAACAAAAAAGGTCCCGAAACCCTCCTAAGCCCTCACTCCGAAAGCCCTGAAGGCCCCAACGTTGCTTTGCCTAGTACATGGAGGTCCAGGGTTTAGGGTTTAGGGTTTAGGGTTTAGGGTTTAGGGTTTAGGGTTTAGGGTTTAGGGTTTAGGGTATAAGGGACTTCTCTAGATGAGGGTCCCCTGCGTGGTTACGACTAATTTTCAGGCGGCCCCTGAACCCTTATCCCTGAACCCTGAACCCTAAATCCTAAACCCAAACCCTAAGCTCTAAACCTTAAACCCTTCAGCCCCAAACCCGCGCTGCGAGAAGTAGACAGGATCCCCATGCACTCAGGTAAAACATATTAAATTGTTGAGGGTTTAGGGTTTAGGGCTAAATAGTTGTGGCAGTTACCTTCAGTCCCAGGAAACGGGCTGAAAAGTTTAGGGGTTCACGGGTTGGAGGTCAAGGGGCTCGAGGGGGGTTCAGGCTTCAGGGTTTATGGGAAGCTTACCTCCACGCCCCCCTCCCCTCTCCCCGCCCTCAGCCCTAAGCCCTAAGCCTCTAAAGCCCTAAACCTTAAGCCCTAAGCCCTACACCCTAAACCCTAAACCCTAAACCCTAAACCCCCCTGAAGGCCAATGACGTGCTGCTGGCTTTTGACGGCGAGCCCATTGGAAACGACGGCACGGTGCGCTTCCGCAGGCACGAGCGCGTCATGTACACTTGGCTGGTCGACGCTTGGCTGAGGGTGTAGTGTTTAGGGTTTAGGGTTTAGGGTTTAGGGTTTAGGGTTTAGGGTTTAGGGTATAGGGTTTAGGGTTAAATTAGGATTTAGGGTTTAGGGTTTAGGGTGTAGGTTTTAGGTTTAGGGTTTAGGGTTTAGGGTTTAGGGTTTATTGGACTCAGCAGGGCTCATTGTTTGAGCCTTACTTGGGGAGGTTCGTGGGTACTTATAAGAAGGGTTCTATGTGGGG